CCCCCCCCCCCCGCAGGGGACCTGGCTGTTGCCAGGTGACGGGAGGACGGGAGGACGCTCTGAACGCCGGGTTTCTGCTGGGCAGGGCTAGAGAGATACCGTGCGCAGCCCCTTCCCCAGACTCTCGCCCAGTTTCTGCGATCGACCCAGCGGCCTTTGAGGCCGCCCCAGGCAGCATCAGGATGGCCGAGGTCAGGAGTCAGCGCCCCCTCTGTCGCCTCTCGCTGGACCTTTCCCCTTGTCCCTCTCGTGTTGACACCCATCCCCTGTCACGTCCACGTCGTAGCCCAGGCCTCGCTCCCTTGTTGTGTGGTACACCTCATCTTTAGCTTTACAGATTCTGCAGTCTTCGGTGATCCCTGCCCGTCCATCAGCCCTCCCATCTGTAACTTCAGTAGCCTCAACTCCCGACTTCCCTGCCACTTATAGTCCCCACCCACTAAGGCCCTGCCCAACTCTTCCTTACCTCCTCAGGGAAGATTCCAGCCAGGATCAGCTGCAAGATTTTCCAGTGCAAAATGAAAACACACAGCTTCTCATTCAGAAATCATTAGGACTTTTAAACCGGGACAGCAGTACATTAATCAAGGGTGGGGCTCCTCTGAGTCTGCAGCCTGGGCAGCCCTGCTCCCAGCTTCTCCCACCGCATTGCTTCCCGGGTCTCCTCTGCACCGTCTACATCCTCATCACTCCACCTCCTCCTGTCTAGTGTCCCACTGTGGACCCCACTTCCTGTGGCCCCCGCGCTGCACTTCCTTATCCTCCATCGTCTTCCTCTTCCCTGGTTGGTCACCGTCATTTTCTGACGTCTGTGCCCGCTGTGAGCACATCATTTCCCCCATTACCCCCTCACCCATCCCTCTTTACCTCCCATTTCCTCCTCTTGGTCCTTCCAGACCTCCTTCGTATTTTCTATTATTTGCTTTTGAGTGTTTCCTCTTTTTCTCCCTGACTGGTTATCTTAGTTTATTTTATTATTCTTCATTCTCCATGAATAAGCCCCAGATACCAGGCCTAGGAACTAATTCTTTCCCACTAGCCCCTGTCTTTATTGTCTCCTTGTATTTCTTACTTTCCTCTCTCTCTTCTCACTTGACTATAACCAACTTTTCCCAGCTTCTCTTTCACAATCCTTTATTTCTACTCTGGTCTCATAGTTCGGCCGTCTTTTCATTTCCCCTCTTTCTCCTTTCTGAGGACCTTGGCACATTAGTAAGCACTCTGGCCAGGTGAAGAATGAAGTGGTGTCACAGCTCACGTTGACACTGTTTCTGAAATATTTTCCCTTGAACACTTTCAGACTAGAGACGCCAGCAGCTTTTGGCTGCGGCTGAGAGATTGTTTTTGCTTTTCTTTTAAGAGTGTACTCTTAAAGTGACAATATGAGAAAATCTTTTGTTCACAAAAATTTTTTTTAAATTTTTTCTTTCTCTGATATTTTTCCACACCTAAGTGCTAAGTGCCAGGTGTATAGGGAAAACATGGCCTGCAAGTAAGTCATTAGGCTGCTGATTAAGTGTTGACATTTTTGCCATAACTGAGACTGTCCTTGTGATAAACTTTTGTGTGTGCCCATGTTTAACATCAACAAGGGGGAACAGGGCAGTGACAGCATTGTATTTCTTTAACATGATTTTTCCTCTTTTGTGCAACTGCTATCGTATTATACTCTGCAAAAACCTACTTTATTCAGGAAGGAAACATCTTGAGTCTAAAATTAGTACTAAAGTTGTTATAGATGTGCTTATGATTTTACATCTATTTTAATCTCCAGAGATATTTTGTTTATATGTCACCTTTAGAGATTTAATTAATAGTATAAATGCTTTTGAAAACTACAAATATGTAGACTTTATTCATATTAGGCAAGACAGCCTTGTGAAAACAAACGCTTTACTCCTTCCCTGAAATCTTAAGGGTGAATTAGAGTTTTACTCTACTATTGAGATTAGAGATGGTCTCAGTTGGTTTCTTTGATTATTAGCGGAGTGTTAATGGTAAGTGCTTTAGTGTAGAATACCAAAGCATAACGTTGCAAGTGTAAGTAGGGCCTTGTAAACCTTATCAATTCTTTACTCAAAAGTGTTGCTTTGGCTTTCTGTGGCCTTTGTAATAATACGATTCATACTCCTTAGAATGACAGTCAGTGTGTCCAGGCTGTTTCGCACACTTGAAGGGTCTTCTCCTTCCTTTTTCCTGTTATACCTCTTACATTTTACCCGACTGGGATATTGCCTGGCCCTGAGCTTTTGGTTAAACTTTGTGATCTGCAAGAAAACCCTTCATGTATATCCATGTGTGAAAATTCCTTTCTTCCTTCTAGGCCTGCTCAGATGCCACTTCCTTTATGACATTTGCTTTATTCTTCCTGCTGGGTATAAATCTTCCTTCTTATGGGCTCTGATAGAACTCTATCCACTTTATGACTGGGACCTCCTTCTGTACTTCCAGTGTCTGCATAACATACTCCATCAGCTGGAAAATATAAACTCTGTGTGGCTGGGTCACTTATTCCTTGACTGGATATCTCCTGTAGGCTTCATTGCAGAGCTTAACCTAGAGCAAATGTTCGACAAATGCTTGCTAACTGGGGCTGGAGATGTAGCTGAGATGCAGATTGCTGGCCCAGCACGTGTGAGGCCCTCGTTTCAATCGCCGGCACCCACAGGGAAGAGAAAATAATCGCTTTGCTGAGTGAATGAATACATATGTTAAAATACCCTTTAGAATTATTATTCTTGCACTGCTCCCTCAAAGAAGTGGGTATATTCATCTGCTAGAGCAGACATAACAAAGTACCAAAACTGGGAGGCTTAAGATAGCTGGTTAGTATTATTGTTGCTGTTATTATTATTATAGTTCTGAAGGGTAGAAATCTAAATCAAAATATTGGCAGGGTTTTGCTCTCCTGGAGACCCTGAATAATCCCACCTCGCCTCTTTCCACTTCTGTCGGTGGATGACAGATCCTAGCCTTCCTTAGATAACGTCTGCATCAGTCTACTTTGCTTTGAGATGTGTGTGCGTGCGTGTGTGTGTGTGTGTGTGTGTGTGTGTGTGTGTGTGTGTGTGTGTGTGTGTGTGTGTGTGTGTGTATGTTACAACATTGGGTTATACTGAATTAGAACTCATTTCACTCCAGTGATACACACATCTGGAAATGAAAATGAGAAAGGAGACTTCCCAACATGTGTCTTAACTTTTCGGCCTGCCAGGGGCTTTACTTTGTGGTCATGAAGGTCTTTCCTTCGGGGATAATGGCAGTAATTCCTTGTCATTAATGGAGTAACTGTTGGGATGCACATCCATCCTTGTTCTTTTATACAGGAAAAGGGTGAAAAACCAGTGCTGGAAGAAAATGCATTCGAGGAAATTGAAAAAGATTTTCAAGAGGTTCTCAGTGAACTTTCAGGCGACAAAAGTCTGGACAGATTTAGAATCGAATATGAGAAGCTTCACGCCATTATGAAAAAGTCTTATGACAATGAAAAGCGTCTGATGGCCAAATGCAGAGAGCTGAATGCGGAGATTGTGGTTAATTCTGCGAAGGTCGCCACTGCCCTGAAGCTGTCCCAGGATGATCAGACCACCATCGCATCCCTGAAGAAGGTCGGTGATCTAGCCGTGATGAGCTGGATTGAAAACATCACTCTTTCCTTTGCACCTCTAGGCTGGTAGTAAACTCGTGATTAGGTAAAAATTTGCATGATTTATATATTCATTAAGCCCATGGAGTAAGATTCATTCTTGAAGAAAGTAGTTAGCCTGGGTGAATTTCACCATCCAGTAAATAATAGAGAATCTTACTGGCTTTGTTTCTGGGAAGTAATGGGAGAGCAAAAAGATTTAGAGATAAGTAAATGCAGTATGTCTTGCTTGGGACAAGATGAGCAGTTACACACGATAGCTTATTAAAAATATTTTTATATTTCTACTTTTTCTCCTGCTTCAGAGGAGTTATTTTGAGAATTCCCAGAGAGTAATTTTTATTTTCAACCACCTCTGACTGTGTTTCTCCCTTGATCATTTAATTCCTCAAAACAAAAGAACCAGCGATCCTATCTGGGGAATATTGGGGAAGTAACATGACTTAATTTCACACTATGTTTTTCCTCCTTAAATATGTTGCTGCATAGTCCCTGCTGTTCTTAAGGTGATAAAAGTTGGAGAGGTTAATTTATAATTAAAACCCCAGTCATGAGAACTAATTTATAAACATTTTAGGTCATTCCCTTAATATCATGTAACTAGGTGTTACCCAGTTCAACTCATGATCAATACAAAATAGAATTTTATCCATTTTCCTAGAAACTCCTCTGTATATCAGTGTAATTTTTCTCTATTGTCACTTTTTTCTTCTCCTTGCTTAAAAACCAATATGAGAAAACTTAAATTCATTTTATGATGCTGAAAAAAACACTTTCATTTTAAATTTAAAAACGAGAAGTTAAGATTGATTAAAATCTAATTGGTTAAAGTTTATTTGGACCAAATTAGCCCAACATATTTTCATTTAAATGTTCTTCCTTTGTTTTGCCAATAATAGTACATGGGGTGGCTACATAGGACCACATCCGCTGATGTTTTATTCTGAGTCACTAAGTTGTGTGCTGTGGTTACTCAAGAGTAAGTTCTCTGTCTAATATAATAGCATGAATTTATGAAATTAAATACCCTTGTCAGCATTTCTTTTTTGTTCCCCATCAACATTGAGATAAAAGTGGAACATTGCCAACTAAATCGTGCAGATTCTTATCTGTATAATGGATCCACGTTCCACTTGACAAAGTTTTGCAACACAGTTAACGGCAGGACAAAATCGAGGGTGTTGTGGGTGCTCACTGTGCTTTGCCCCTTTCTCTGATGGCTCACTTTTAAATGTACAGTCCCCACTGCCTTTCATAACAGTAAGGGAGCCAACGCTGCATGAGCTGTTGTTCCATTCCCTGCTGTGGATTTTGTTTTTCCCCCACAATCATTTGAGGAGAAGGCATGGGCTTGGGCTTCTGAAAATGGGCATTGCCAAGGTTTCTGCTCAGTTTTGAGCCTGCAGAGAGCAGCCTCCCGATGTTGTGTCCTGAAGCTTTCACACCAGCCAGAGACTCCCTCGGGATCTGAGGACAAATTGCATTTTTTCCTCAAACTTGTGATCCTCCTGCCTCCTTCTTCCAAGTGCAGAGATTACAGGCATGTGCCGCTATACCCTGCTAAGCTTTCATTTAAAATTTTGCAAATATATCAACTTCTTTATAAGAAAGTTTCCCCTAGGGAGAGTAGCTGTGGCAGGACTTTGTAGCCACAATTGCCCACAGAAGGAAAAACACTCTGCCAAAAAGCACCCTTTCTCTAACTGGGCCGTTCACTGTTGTCGGGCTCATGCTGAGCACTTCAGAAAGTCAGTACAGATCATGCGTCGTGTATGTGATATTTCCTGTGTAAATGACTGCTGCCCGGTCCTCATGGTGCTACCTTATTTGCTGGTTTATCTTGCACCTGAAGCCCAGCTTGGGTTTTCTCACTGGTGTCCTGTGGCCCATTTAGGAAATTGAGAAGGCCTGGAAGATGGTGGACTCAGCCTATGATAAGGAGCAGAAGGCCAAGGAGACGATTCTTGCCCTGAAAGAGGAAATAGTAAACTTGACCAAACTGGTGGAGCAAGGGTCCGGACTGTCACTGAACCAAGACAGCAAGTAGGTGGAAGTCCTCCTGGTGTCTCTGAGCGTCCTTTCGCCCGGCAGCCACCCAGGGGCAGTCAGAGCGGCGGCCTGGGGCCGGCAGGTATCTTTTGGGACAGTTCTCCAAGGGCAGAACACTCCACTCCCAGACATCATTTTCCATTCTGATTTTTCTTTTTAATACTTCCTTTCTCCATACTGAAGAGCTTCTAATTTGTGTTTACATTCAACTTCTGGTTCTTTAAGAATCAGCACTACAGTGACCCAGACAGTGAAGATTGAGGTTTATTTCCTGCAGACTTGTAGTGAATGGGACTGGCTGCCTTTCTGCCCAGACTCCCAGCTCCTCCTCCTCCCCATCATGGTTAACCTCTGCGCCATCCTCCTCACTTCCTCAGATTCCGGGCCAGAGGTCAGGGTTGTTCTCCCCCTGTCGCTGCTCCTTCATCCCTGGAAGCCTTGTCTTGTTCGTTCTGACCTTTCCTCTTTCCTGCAGCTGGGGCTGCTGCCGTGCCATGGTGGGGTGGGCAGTACCCTTCTAACTGGTCTTCCCTACATGAAGACATCTCCCTGCTGAGCGTTTTCAGGCCCATGCCTCTGAAGCACACATGCAACCTGTCCACAACCAAAACACTTTCTGCAGCTACCAGTACCAGAAGGAGAAAGCCCAGGCATTTTTTTTGGTTCCAGGGATTGAACTTGGGACCTTGTACGTGTGAGGCAGGCAGTGGAACTGCTGAGCTAAATCCCTGGCCCTAAAGACCAGACTCTTGATCCCACTGTTTTCAATCTTTCATAAACCTGCCTCTGTAACTTCTCTGGCCTTCTGTCCAGACATACCATGTTGCTCCTACCCTCATACTTTCTGTGCTCAGAATACCTTTCTTCCCTTCTCCCCGTCAAAAGCTCAGTTCATCCTTTAAGATCCATCTCAGACGCCATCTTAACTTTGTCACCATCAGCATCCTCTCCACCTCCAGACCCCAATGAAGAGGCAGAGTGAGTCACGGCATTCTCCGTTTCCATAGAACCCAGCACCTACCTCCAGTACCGCACAGACTATATTGGATGGAATGATTTTTCACTGAGTTTCTCTACCCACTAGGCTGTGTATTTCTGGAAGGAAGATGCTTTTCTATCCCTGTAAAAATCTGGCACTACAATGGTCACGCACCACATAACATTAAGTGGTGAATCAGGAATGGACATATACTTCCTCGGGCATCCTTAACAAAATCTAATGTTGCTCTCTTGGTTTCTTAATCCATTGGTCCAACTTTGACAGTTCTAGTTGTAGGTGCCGGGGCAAGGAATAAGGAAAACAACCGAAGAAGTAACTCCTGTAATGGTGGACACTGTCCTGTTCTAGCATGTTCAGAGCACCTAAGGAGAGAAAAGTGAGGGATCTTGCTCCCATGGGGGAGTTTTTAATGAGAATTAGAAGACAGCAGGGAAGACGCTATCCAGCTCAGAGTTTTGTCATAAGCAACGTATGCTCAGCTGTCTCGATTTATAGTAACTTGGAATAGAGGTTTTTTTCCTAGAGAAGCAGCACCTGAGTATGGATTGGAAGGATCCTTAGTAAACATGTATGCTATCTTAAAGTTGCTGGTATATAAGCACGGTCGAATGACAGTGCTTTGAGCAGTTGCTCGGTGCCTGTCAGCTGCACAGGTCTGCAGGGCAAGTTTCCCTCTGTGTTTTCCTTGCCCAGAGCTGCCTGGCTTTAAATCCGTCCTCCTCATGGGTGTACTAGACACAGCTTCCGCTCCCAGAGCACTGATTCTGCAGAAAGTCTTGCCAAATCAGAGGGGGTTGCTTTTGAAATGGGGAGGCAACTGGTTCCCAGTTCAAATCAGTAAATATTTTCACAGACTCTCCAAAATCCAGCATCATGAGCAGTTTTCCAAATTTTGTTCTGGGGAACATTTTATCTCGTCTGCAGCCCTTTGGGAGAAGCTAATCTGTCTGAGTGAATGGAAAGAAAATTGGCAATGCATATTATTTGCTTATGTTTGTGTTTCATCTTAGACTTTATAGCTGTGATCATAGCCTCCAGTGGATATATTAAACAAATAATTTCCTAAATTGACATCTCTTTAGGGTTAATTATAAGAGCTGACAATAGCAATATAGTATTATTGTAGCAGATCCAAATAATACAGAGGTGTGGAAATTATCATTTCTCCCAAGTTTGCCAGTCTAAACTCCCCAGAAATAATCTGTTGCCTGATTTTCTGGGTTTCTGTAAAAATGCCTTTAGAATCCACAACATAAAACCAGGCATGGTGGTGCTTGGCTGTAATCTCAGCACTCGGGGAGGCTGAGGCAGGAGAACTGCAGGTTCAAGACCAGTCTGGGCAATTTAGCAACTTAAGGAGAACATGTCTGAAAAAGGAAAAAGAGAAAGGCTAGGGATGTAGCTCAGTGCCAGGGCCCTGGGTTTACATGAATAGATGCTTTATTTTCTTAAAAATTAAAAAGGAGTCCATCTGGTTACTATTTTTGGCACTTCGGATCGGTGGACATCTCCAGCAGCTCCTTGCACTCCCCACAGGGCCCGAGAGTATCTGTGTAAGCCCAGGCGGCACCCTGTGCAGCCACAGACTTTCCCAGGGCAGCC